ATTTTCCCCAATCAGACGCAAGTGGTGAGAGAGAACAGCAAAAAAGAAACGGTAGTCAACAACAGAAAAAAGTTGTTGTGGTAGTCTCGGGCTCATTTAGTTTTCGGTAAATACATTATTAATCAATGGAAGAAGTGTCAAATGCCTACAAAAATTTATTATTGTTGAAAAAAATATTTAAAAAATTGTGAAATTATTTGCCTAAAATCATAGACTTCATATCTAAATAGAATCCACCTAAAGAAGTCGCATTTTCTTGCATTTACCGTGTTTGTGTGTGTTCGTGCGTGTGTGTGTCGTGTTGTTTAGTGTTTATCGTCGTGGTTTTTTTCTCAATTCGTTTGTTGTGTCTATGAAGCACTTCGTTGGAGACAGCCAGAGACTCCCCAAAAGGTAACTCTCTGTTGTGGCATTCATTGTTGTTGGTTTTGTGCAAAATATAAAAACAGAGAATAAAGAAGACCGTAGCTTCTCTTCTCCCCAAAACATGTGCATTCATGGTTAACTCCCAGAGAGCAGCGGTGGATAAATGCTAACGTCTCTCTTCAGGCTCTGCTGCAGCGATATTAGTGGAATAACAACAAAATGCGTGGACATTATTGTGCGCGTAAATAAAAAACAAAGCAAATAGATTATTTAAAGAAGAATTGCATGAATTTTAAAATATTTAAATAATATTAGTGATAAAAAATTACGATGTTATTAGTGAATTAAACATATCAGTTATATTTGCGTGGATATTTAGCAAAAAACTCAAGGAACATTAAATAAACAGGAAATTTATTGCCGGCAACTGAAAAGTAAGTTTGTAAACAGTTATTTTGAATTTTGTCTGTCATAATTATTCCAAATTAAATGAATGGTAATTTCAAAAGAAAAATCAAATTTAAATCAAATTAGAATTTTTTGATTGATTTTGCATTTTGACAGTAGTAGTATCTAGTTTTAAATATATGCCTAAAAAAAAATTAACCAACCATAGTCTTGCCATCTGCTGCTGCAGCGCTGCTACTATAACAACATCAGACGTGTGAATATTACATTTAGCAGCATCGCTGTACTGCATGTTTTTCTGCGGTATTATTTGTTTTGTTGTTTATTTCTTCTTTATCAAGTAACTTTTATTTTAATTTCTAATTTGTTGTTGTTTTCTTTTCGGTTACAGTTCTGGTTGTCTTCGAAATCAATGAACCTGTCACGTATAGGATTTACAAATTTAAAGGTAAGTGTAAATTAATGAATAAATTCTGTTTAGCAGACAGGTTAATATCCACAATATTTTCTGCAATTTTTAAATGGAATCCAATCTACAAAATTGCATTGACTTGGGTCATAATTTTCGATGTTCTAGCTGTTGTGTAACCCCAATGGTTTGTAATGCCGCGAAATATTGGTTATAGACCCACTAGTACGTCCGTCCGTCTGTCAACAGTTATGGACCAATCATTACGAAATTTTGTATGTAGGTTCTTTTTGAGTCAAAGCAGACATTTGGGGTGTTTTTTAGTAATGATTGGTTAAATATTTAGAACATGAAATCGATCAAAAACTTATTATATTATTTGTGAAAGCCTGTCTGGATTTGACAGTATTGTCCAGCTGTTTTCATGCTTATCCAGTGTAAAACTACAAACATTTAATTTTTCCATTTAAATATAATTTTAATTTTTTAATTATATCCTCTATCATAAGGTCAAGTATACTTAATTTTGTAATTCCGTTTGCAACACCTCGAAATATTCACCGGAGACCGCACAATAGAGTAACTTCTGGTAATGTGGACCATGCGTCAAATGTGGACCACCCCCCATATCTAAGAAAATGCTTGAAATATGCCAATGCCGCCTTGATAAATGTTTTCCTAATTAGTGAAAACAAACATCAAACTTGGTTTTTAATAAATAATTGCAATGTTGAAAATTTAGTAGGTGAAAATGTAGCTCTGATTGTAAAAGTGTGATTTGAAAATTTTTTAGCACAATAGTCGAACGATTTTGTAAAATAGTCGAACATTTTGTTTTTCTCGAATATAAAGAGGTTATGTGGTTTTCTTGTTTTCTTTAACAAAAATACACGTTTATCTGTAATTACTTTCGGTTATTTTTAAATTTTTATTCATTTTTGAAGCCGATAATTATTTTTAAATAAAAATATTCAATGTCGGGTAATGTGGACCACTATAAAAAAGTGGGACATTTTCATGAGGACGAGTTCGAAACAAGGGCGCATTTAATATGCGAGGAGGTATTCTATCCTCTGAAAACTCGATATCCGAAATTATAGGTGCCTCGGTTGGATAATGAAGCAAGGACCTTCAAAATACCGCAAATGGGGTGGTACCCTTAAATGGGGGCTATTCCAAAACATGGACCCATATATTTTTGCATTCATTGTTACCCAAGAGTGCAATAAATTGAAATTTATCACAATTAATCCACAACCTACCTTTAACTTACTGATCCTCATTACCCACACATACTGGTCCACATTACCCGCCAAGTTATTTTTATTTGCAGTTTAGAGTTTTTTGAAATATAATGCAATAACATTTTTATGGACAAATATATATAATTTTTGACCTGGAATATAATTAGCCAACAAATCTACCATGCTGTGAAAACAATTTGTTTTTATTTTTTACCGTTGTTACGCCCACAATATCAAAAAAAAAAGAAAATGGTGGTCCACATTTTGGACACTTTTTCAAACGAATTGGTAATAATTTTGTATTTTGGGTTCTAATTTTATAGCATATCATTGTTCTAAAATTCTGTATTATTGAACCTTGTTTGAATGTAGGCCCAATATAAAGGTACTCCCACATTACTGTACTATAAACTATTAATATTGACCCATGTTGGTATTATAGGAAATTTTAATACATTTTTTCAACCGAATTGTCTGTAATATGTATTCTCATTAGTTCTCAAATGTCACTACTCAAAATGATCGCTATTGTTCTCCACTTTGTTATATTCCTTGTTCTCACCTCTTTTTCTGTATATTGAAGATGCTAGTTTTCTCCTTTTGCCCTCCATTAATTTGACAACATTTTGAATGTTATCCTCATGGTGGAAGGTACATTAATTGTACACGGAGAAGGGAATCAGACTAAGGACTAATCATGGCAGTCTTGATAATCGGTCAATATTTAGCGGGTCAAATGGATCCTGACTTTAATGTGGAAAATTATAAATTTTTCATTCTATTTTAACTCCTTAAGGATATAGACCTGAGAAGCTGACAGTATACCTGATATTGTTTATTATTTTTATTACAGCGCAAATTTCGAACTGATGAAATACATTTTACACAATAAATATTTTAATTTACCATTTAAAAATATATAATATTACTACTCCCACAAATTAACGCGAGTCTAACACTCTAATCCAATATTTCTAAGATTTGTTGTTCAATACCGTCAGGACGACCTTACTTTTTCCGAAATATCAAAGAAAGTAGATTGTTTGAGAATTAATGTGTACTACTCAATATTTTCAAAGCATCATACGGACGAGATTCAGAATAATGACCCATGGGACACAGCAGTGAATAGTGATCCTTTTTAAACAGCACCAAGGATATGAAAAAAAAATTCTACAACAACAGGGACTAAACATTTCCACTAATTTCGAGAAAATAATGTTTGCCTTCGCCATTTATAAGAACAAGTTTCTTACTAGAAAAATGTATTGTAATGTAATCAAAATTAAATAAAAAAAGTGAAAAAGTGTCAGTCGATTTTGCCGATAGATATATACCCTCAGTCCATGGTTTGCGGAGGTCTTCAGAATTACGCTCAGGTTATATTATTCGCTTTATATAAGGTACGCCCTTTGTAGAACCATGAAATATATTCTTTAAAAATCCACGCCCTTTATAGACCCCTGAAAAATATTCTTTAAAAAACCACGCCTTGGTTAGGGCTTGAAAAAATATTCTTTAAAAAATCCACGCCTTGGTTGGTCCTTCGAAAAAATATTCTTTAAAAATCCACGCCTTTGTTGGTCCTTGAAAAAACCCTTGATTGGTCCTTTAAAAATCCACGTACTTTATTAGTCCTTCTTGAAAAATTTGGCTCTTACAAAAATAAAGAGCCACAATTTTTAAAGAATATTTCTTCAAGGACTATCATCACATAGGCTTGGACTTTTTAAAAAATATTCTTCAAGTAACATTATCCAAATAAAAGCAGTTTTATTCCTTACAAATTAAAGTGGTTAACAAAGCATTTCCATCTTGGGTATGAAAAGTGTTCTTGTAAAGTGGTTAAAAATATTTGAATTCGCAATTAATGTATCAATGTACTGGTCGATATTCCAACTGACCTTATATCTACTCATTTTAACATCTCGATCCAAAATATTATATTGCAAACTATAATAAAACTAATCCAAAAACAAACAAAAAACTCCCATAGAATGCAGAAGCACTACAAAACAAATGGCATTCACACACCAATTTTCTTTTCCATTTTTTGTCTACATTGCCTCAAAGTTTTTGTTCCAGATTGGCGCTAAGTGTTTGGCATTTAGGAGATGGCCATCGGAGAAAGCAACAAATAAATCTGCTGTGGTGGTATTGCTTTGAATGGTCTACAAAACACTCTCAAACACACTCGCACAAACATAAATAATTTCATATTTTTGCAGCAATTTATAATTTTCGTTGAGATGATTATTTATAGTTTGCATCTCCACTCCCCTCCCCTCAACAACAAACAAACAACTGCTTATTTTCTCAAAAAGAACGAAGAAGAAGAAAATAATTCGCTCATAAAATTTGTTTACTCATTTCTTGTCCTTATTGCTGCAGCTACTGCACAGCCTCAATCTATGTCTGTTGCTCGAGGGGTGAGGGGGGGACTTCTCTGTACGAATTGCAGTTTGGCTTTGTTTTGTTGTTTGCCCCCCAGAAGTTATTACCGTTCATTTTGCTTTTACTTTTTACCACCATCTATCCAAGCCGCCAGAAGGACAACGTCGACGACGACAAACGACCATACTTTTGTTGCTGTTGTTTTTCTTCTTCTTTCTTTTGATAATGATGAACATTTTGTGGTGCTGATGGCATTTTTCGTTTTCACTCCAAGTTTTGTTCCAAATTTCCTTAATAGTTGTGTTTTAGTGTCGGCGTTATTGTCGTTGTTGTTTTTGTTGGGTTATTACAAATATATTTCATTCGTTGCTGTGTCACAAACATTCAAAGAAAACACCAAAAGGAAAGATGAATTGTTTAACGTTTTAAATCGTTTTTTTTTTAAATGCCCTGCACTGTAGGATATTTTATAAAAAATTACTTAAATGGCCAAGAGAAACATAAACAAGGACTTTTTAGGGATATTTTGAAGGATAGTCAGAACTTTAGGCGCGGATTTTTAAAGAAGATTTCTTCAAGGACCATCATCACAACTAGGCGTGGGTTTTTAAAGAATATTTCTTCAAGGACCATCATCACAACTAGGCGTGGATTTTTAAAGAATATTTCTTCAAGGACCATCATCACAACTAGGCGTGGATTTTTAAAGAATATTTCTTCAAGGACCATCATCACAACTAGGCGTGGATTTTTAAAAAAATATTTCTTGGGATCCTTGATATGTGGGTTGGCGTGGATTTTTAAAAAATATTTTTAATAAATCCACGCAAAATCAGTTGGCCCTTTTATTGAAAAATATTTCTTAATAAATCCACGCCTCAGTTGGCCCTTGAAAAATATTCTTTAATAAATCCACGCCTCAGTTGGCCCTTGAAAAATATTCTTTAATAAATCCACGCCTCAGTTGGCCCTTGAAAAATATTCTTTAATAAATCCACGCCTCAGTTGGCCCTTGAAAAATATTCTTTAATAAATCCACGCCTCAGTTGGCCCTTGAAAAATATTCTTTAATAAATCCACGCCTCAGTTGGCCCTTGAAAAATATTCTTTAATAAATCCACGCCTCAGTTGGCCCTTGAAAAATATTCTTTAATAAATCCACGCCTCAGTTGGCCCTTGAAAAATATTCTTTAATAAATCCACGCCTCAGTTGGCCCTTGAAAAATATTCTTTAATAAATCCACGCCTCAGTTGGCCCTTGAAAAATATTCTTTAATAAATCCACGCCTCAGTTGGCCCTTGAAAAATATTCTTTAATAAATCCACGCCTCAGTTGGCCCTTGAAAAATATTCTTTAATAAATCCACGCCTCAGTTGGCCCTTGAAAAATATTCTTTAATAAATCCACGCCTCAGTTGGCCCTTGAAAAATATTCTTTAATAAATCCACGCCTCAGTTGGCCCTTGAAAAATATTCTTTAATAAATCCACGCCTCAGTTGGCCCTTGAAAAATATTCTTTAATAAATCCACGCCTCAGTTGGCCCTTGAAAAATATTCTTTAATAAATCCACGCCTCAGTTGGCCCTTGAAAAATATTCTTTAATAAATCCACGCCTCAGTTGGCCCTTGAAAAATATTCTTTAATAAATCCACGCCTCAGTTGGCCCTTGAAAAATATTCTTTAATAAATCCACGCCTCAGTTGGCCCTTGAAAAATATTCTTTAATAAATCCACGCCTCAGTTGGCCCTTGAAAAATATTCTTTAATAAATCCACGCCTCAGTTGGCCCTTGAAAAATTCTTTAATAAATCCACGCCTCAGTTGGCCCTTGAAAAATATTCTTTAATAAATCCACGCCTCAGTTGGCCCTTGAAAAATATTCTTTAATAAATCCACGCCTCAGTTGGCCCTTGAAAAATATTCTTTAATAAATCCACGCCTCAGTTGGCCCTTGAAAAATATTCTTTAATAAATCCACGCCTCAGTTGGCCCTTGAAAAATATTCTTTAATAAATCCACGCCTCAGTTGGCCCTTGAAAAATATTCTTTAATAAATCCACGCCTCAGTTGGCCCTTGAAAAATATTCTTTAATAAATCCACGCCTCAGTTGGCCCTTGAAAAATATTCTTTAATAAATCCACGCCTCAGTTGGCCCTTGAAAAATATTCTTTAATAAATCCACGCCTCAGTTGGCCCTTGAAAAATATTCTTTAATAAATCCACGCCTCAGTTGGCCCTTGAAAAATATTCTTTAATAAATCCACGCCTCAGTTGGCCCTTGAAAAATATTCTTTAATAAATCCACGCCTCAGTTGGCCCTTGAAAAATATTCTTTAATAAATCCACGCCTCAGTTGGCCCTTGAAAAATATTCTTTAATAAATCCACGCCTCAGTTGGCCCTTGAAAAATATTCTTTAATAAATCCACGCCTCAGTTGGCCCTTGAAAAATATTCTTTAATAAATCCACGCCTCAGTTGGCCCTTGAAAAATATTCTTTAATAAATCCACGCCTCAGTTGGCCCTTGAAAAATATTCTTTAATAAATCCACGCCTCAGTTGGCCCTTATTCTTTAAAAATATTCTTTAATAAATCCACGCCTCAGTTGGCCCTTGAAAAATATTCTTTAATAAATCCACGCCTCAGTTGGCCCTTGAAAAATATTCTTTAATAAATCCACGCCTCAGTTGGCCCTTGAAAAATATTCTTTAATAAATCCACGCCTCAGTTGGCCCTTGAAAAATATTCTTTAATAAATCCACGCCTCAGTTGGCCCTTGAAAAATATTCTTTAATAAATCCACGCCTCAGTTGGCCCTTGAAAAATATTCTTTAATAAATCCACGCCTCAGTTGGCCCTTGAAAAATATTCTTTAATAAATCCACGCCTCAGTTGGCCCTTGAAAAATATTCTTTAATAAATCCACGCCTCAGTTGGCCCTTGAAAAATATTCTTTAATAAATCCACGCCTCAGTTGGCCCTTGAAAAATATTCTTTAATAAATCCACGCCTCAGTTGGCCCTTGAAAAATATTCTTTAATAAATCCACGCCTCAGTTGGCCCTTGAAAAATATTCTTTAATAAATCCACGCCTCAGTTGGCCCTTGAAAAATATTCTTTAATAAATCCACGCCTCAGTTGGCCCTTGAAAAATATTCTTTAATAAATCCACGCCTCAGTTGGCCCTTGAAAAATATTCTTTAATAAATCCACGCCTCAGTTGGCCCTTGAAAAATATTCTTTAATAAATCCACGCCTCAGTTGGCCCTTGAAAAATATTCTTTAATAAATCCACGCCTCAGTTGGCCCTTGAAAAATATTCTTTAATAAATCCACGCCTCAGTTGGCCCTTGAAAAATATTCTTTAATAAATCCACGCCTCAGTTGGCCCTTGAAAAATATTCTTTAATAAATCCACGCCTCAGTTGGCCCTTGAAAAATATTCTTTAATAAATCCACGCCTCAGTTGGCCCTTGAAAAATATTCTTTAATAAATCCACGCCTCAGTTGGCCCTTGAAAAATATTCTTTAATAAATCCACGCCTCAGTTGGCCCTTGAAAAATATTCTTTAATAAATCCACGCCTCAGTTGGCCCTTGAAAAATATTCTTTAATAAATCCACGCCTCAGTTGGCCCTTGAAAAATATTCTTTAATAAATCCACGCCTCAGTTGGCCCTTGAAAAATATTCTTTAATAAATCCACGCCTCAGTTGGCCCTTGAAAAATATTCTTTAATAAATCCACGCCTCAGTTGGCCCTTGAAAAATATTCTTTAATAAATCCACGCCTCAGTTGGCCCTTGAAAAATATTCTTTAATAAATCCACGCCTCAGTTGGCCCTTGAAAAATATTCTTTAATAAATCCACGCCTCAGTTGGCCCTTGAAAAATATTCTTTAATAAATCCACGCCTCAGTTGGCCCTTGAAAAATATTCTTTAATAAATCCACGCCTCAGTTGGCCCTTGAAAAATATTCTTTAATAAATCCACGCCTCAGTTGGCCCTTGAAAAATATTCTTTAATAAATCCACGCCTCAGTTGGCCCTTGAAAAATATTCTTTAATAAATCCACGCCTCAGTTGGCCCTTGAAAAATATTCTTTAATAAATCCACGCCTCAGTTGGCCCTTGAAAAATATTCTTTAATAAATCCACGCCTCAGTTGGCCCTTGAAAAATATTCTTTAATAAATCCACGCCTCAGTTGGCCCTTGAAAAATATTCTTTAATAAATCCACGCCTCAGTTGGCCCTTGAAAAATATTCTTTAATAAATCCACGCCTCAGTTGGCCCTTGAAAATATTCTTTAATAAATCCACGCCTCAGTTGGCCCTTGAAAAATATTCTTTAATAAATCCACGCCTCAGTTGGCCCTTGAAAAATATTCTTTAATAAATCCACGCCTCAGTTGGCCCTTGAAAAATATTCTTTAATAAATCCACGCCTCAGTTGGCCCTTGAAAAATATTCTTTAATAAATCCACGCCTCAGTTGGCCCTTGAAAAATATTCTTTAATAAATCCACGCCTCAGTTGGCCCTTGAAAAATATTCTTTAATAAATCCACGCCTCAGTTGGCCCTTGAAAAATATTCTTTAATAAATCCACGCCTCAGTTGGCCCTTGAAAAATATTCTTTAATAAATCCACGCCTCAGTTGGCCCTTGAAAAATATTCTTTAATAAATCCACGCCTCAGTTGGCCCTTGAAAAATATTCTTTAATAAATCCACGCCTCAGTTGGCCCTTGAAAAATATTCTTTAATAAATCCACGCCTCAGCCTTGAAAAATATTCTTTAATAAATCCACGCCTCAGTTGGCCCTTGAAAAATATTCTTTAATAAATCCACGCCTCAGTTGGCCCTTGAAAAATATTCTTTAATAAATCCACGCCTCAGTTGGCCCTTGAAAAATATTCTTTAATAAATCCACGCCTCAGTTGGCCCTTGAAAAATATTCTTTAATAAATCCACGCCTCAGTTGGCCCTTGAAAAATATTCTTTAATAAATCCACGCCTCAGTTGGCCCTTGAAAAATATTCTTTAATAAATCCACGCCTCAGTTGGCCCTTGAAAAATATTCTTTAATAAATCCACGCCTCAGTTGGCCCTTGAAAAATATTCTTTAATAAATCCACGCCTCAGTTGGCCCTTGAAAAATATTCTTTAATAAATCCACGCCTCAGTTGGCCCTTGAAAAATATTCTTTAATAAATCCACGCCTCAGTTGGCCCTTGAAAAATATTCTTTAATAAA